TGTTACTGTTTTACATAGGGTCAAAAAACCATTGGCTACGGACATTGCTGTGTATACCACCCGTGCGATCAACTACACCCACCTCTAACTGAGCAACAGGGTAGTGAGCTCTTGCGAACTGATCTGGTTGAGTTTCAAAATTGTGTCGAAAATGCCGCCCCTGGACTTAATGACAACCAATTTGCTGCCGTAAGTATTATCTAGTATTCAAATTAACAAAAATATTTTCATAAAAAGAAAATTAGATTTGCGTAATCCATGTTAACACCTCAATCATACAAATTACTACTTACTACTAAATACATTAAAATAATGCCACATATTTGAAATTGTATACTTAGTTTTATTTATTAATTAGTTTAAAATTATTAATTAATGTAGTTTTATAAATTAAGTTAAAGCATAAGTATCATATTATCACATTTATACTATTATACATTTGTTACACAACTTGTTTTTTTGGCTACCAGTGCACGTCATTCGCCTTTAACATGGGCTGCGGTACGTTCACGGGGTCGCACGTATTGTCCAGCATAAGGGCCGGGGATTTGAACGCCGCCGCCAACGCCTTCAATGAGTACGTCTCGATGGGCGGCCGTGTGATCGCCGGTCTCGTCGTGCGTCGCAAACGCGAGGAACAGCTGTTCAGATCGTAATACCTGTGCAGCTCCAGTGTCACAGAAATATAAATGACCTGTACAACTTCAATTGTAATTGCTAAATAAAATATAATTTAGTTCATTAATTTTGTTTTGGATGTAATGTTTGAATTTAGTTTGTATTGTATTTGTGTTTTCGTGTATGAGATATGAAAATGTGATTTTCAGTACCTATAGCTATTAAACAAGTATTATTGATTAGTTTAGAGAACTTGTATTTTATTATATTTATTTTACCCAATAACATATTGAATAAACTATGATTTTGCAAACAGCTATAATGGATTAGTTTTACATATGAAATGGTATGGAAAATTATAAATTGATTAAATATTAATTATAATAGCTTATAATTTATAATCGTTTGCAACGTATTTAACATTGCGTTGTATTTTTATTAGTGTTGAATGCATTAAAATT